GGTCGTGACCACCCTCGTGCAAGTCCCTCAGTGCCTTGGCCTGGTGCACTTGCAATAACGCCGAAGCGTGTAAGGCGGACGCAGCTTCTCCACAGGCCATATAGGCGGTCTCGATCAAGGCCGACGAGTGCCTACAGGCCCGGGAGGGGAGCAACGGTTTGCCCCGCCAAGTGGTAGCGGCATTTGGACACAATTGCATCGCAACCGACCGCTCCACCTGGGGGACTCCCGTGTACCCCCACGCTGGACCCCCATCGAGGGTGGTGAGGGAAGATGAGCCACTGGGCCGGTTTCTGGCAGTAAAAGGTGCCGTCCATGACCCAGCGATCTCATCATGCACTTCCGGGAAGAAAGGCACTGGAGTGGGGCCCTGAGAACCAGCGCGCGCCACCCCGAGAAACAGATCCCAATTTCGTCGGTCCTCCGACGTGACGTCGAGAGTGACCGACTGAAAGGGAACTCCAGTTACTTTTCCCCCATGTATTGACTGATAGCTCTCGTGTTGAGTGAAATCGGGAGGGAGTAAGTGCAGAGGCGTTGTGTGCACTTTGTGAACATGATCTTACTGTAGTTCCAGACTAAATATGAACATGTATTTACTCATTTCACCTGCACAAAAACAGATTCAGTTTTCCTCAAAATGAATAAAAACAGTCAAATGCAAATTCAGAATATTATACAAACCTGCAATAATTAAATATGTTAAATAAGACAAATATCATTTATGTATTTAATCCCATTAACCAATATTAACCAATGTCTTTGCTACTGACCTTCGATGATCAAATTCAATCATACTAAGCAAAAATGACACATTGGTGTTTCATTTTTGTTATTGCTGAAAAGTGTTGAACTTTCTTCTCCTGTCATATTCTTCATGCAATTTGTTTGAGCTGTGCCCTCTACTGTACAGACGTGAATTTACATTTCCTTCTGCCTGAGGTGTATTCATTTCATTTTTAGTGTGAAAGGGCTTTTACATTTGTAAAAGAAGAATTTGTATATTTAAAAACAAACAAGTAAGGCCAGTCTAGATTTAAAAAGTAACGTAAAAGTAACGTAACGCATTGCTTTCCATAAAAAATAACTAAGTAACATAATTAGTTATTTTTTAGGGAGTAACGCAAAATTGTAATGCATTACTTTTAAAAGTAACTTTCCCCAACACTGTTTGTGACTCTACTGTTTGTGATCGCTGTAGTGCCTCAATTCAACTGGCATGTGAACCGATCACCTCTTCCTCTTTACTACTAGTTATAGCATGAAATAAAAATGAATGAACATCAGAAGGTATCTTGTTTAAAACACGGAAAGAGACACAGTTTTCCAAGTTCAAGTCCACCAATGTTAATCTACTCTCCTGTCTGGTTTGTTTGTCGAACAAAAATGGTAGATTCTGCGTTATGATTGGTCAGATTGCCTGTCAATCAAACTCCCGGCGAAAGGTCAATTGTAAATAAATATCCACATAATCTAGCACTCTTTTTATTTTCTGTCTTACAACTGTCCTAATGAATCAAACTGAACAGTTCCAGACCTTTTTGCAAACCCGATTGACTGTTTCAAAAGAGTGATTCATTCATGAATCTGGCATCCCTGTTCTAATTCTGATTCTGTGGAGCTGATAGAAAACACACATGACTTGATATATTGTCAGAGAAAATGATTCTCAGGTTGGTACGTTATAATCTTCACTAACATTAATATTTATCTGTAATATTTTACTGGGGCACAGCGTTCTTTCTCTGGAGCTTGTTCCCCAGTAAAAAAAGGGTCTAGTGACATTGGCGGTAACATTAGTGAAAGTTTGCTGAATTTTGAAAAATGTTTGTGTAGTCTATTGTCTATTGTGTAGCGATATACGAAGCACAGAAGTCATTTTCAAGCAGCTTTCTTTTGATGAAGCAAAATCTACATAGGGAAACCTTTCAGCCTTACATGAAATTCCAGATTGCATGGATTCCTATTAAAATGACTGGATTTCACCAGATAAAAATTTATTGAACAGTGGTAAATGTGACCGCACCTTTAGACAGCATCCTAACTGAACAGAAACTCGTATATGACTGATTTGGAACAGGATACATAAACAGAAACTCCA